CATGCATTATTTTATGGTCTCTGTAACCTTTACAGCTTCATTTAGTGATGGTAATGTGTCTAGTAGTTTGGGCCAAATTTACCACAGTGATGACAGCACACTCAGCATGCAATGTCACATTTTAAATGGTGATTATGGCATGCACTAACCTAAATGTATTTGGACTGCGGCATGCTTAAAGTGTATGTAAATGCAAAAACATTTTTTAAATTTTGGATAGAGAAGGGAAGGGTTAGCCTCTGTCAACTTTTTATTGCTGCCTATGCCTGTTTTGGGGAGATTCACCCTCTCTATTCTCTCTATTTGTACTGGTGTCCTTTGTTACTGAGATAGAAGGTGAGAAAGAGTTGTCACCAGAACAAGAGGGACGGGGACCTATTCAGGAAACAACTGGAATTTCCTGCACTCTGGGAGATTTCCTCGAACTTCCTGTTGCATTTCTGGGACATAAAGTAAAGAGAAATCTCCCTAATACACATACAACAAAATTAACCTTAGAGAGGTTTTAATACTTCCCTACTTCTTCCAAAATGAAAAAAATAAAAACTTTATGACTATATAATACACAAAGTCAAATGGCTACATACATACATATATAATGTGGTATCATAGTGAGGGGCTGAGGTGTTCCAGGAAGCATGTACTTTTACCAGGAATGAGCTGGCTTTGGAATTCTTTCCACGTTTTCTGGATTATAGTGGGGATCCTGGAACCGGGAGATTTCAAAGAGAATTGGGAGGATAAAATCTCCATTCCTGGGTCCATGGTTTAATAATGACTAGCACCCAATGACTGCACACCTGTGTACAGCCCTTATGGAAAGGGTGCTGGCTAATATTCAGGACTCCACCTGGGAGACAGGGAAGGTCGCTGTTCAGGAGTGTAGAGGACTTCACCGAGGAGTGGAGCCAGGTGGCTGTATGTGTGCTGGAGGCACATGAGAGACAGCCAAAGTGGCTGAGAGAGCCAGTGACACACGAGGGATGTGTGTAAGAGTCACACAAGAGGTGTGGAAAGCCATTGGGAGCTGTTAAACAGTATTGCGCACTGTTGTGGACTGTTGCTCTTTTGAGATATTTTTTATATTTTCTTTATATATATTACATAATAATGGCAGTGAACAGAGAGTCGCTTACAGATCTCAAGTTGTCCAATGCCAGTAATATCCCTGGTTATCTAGCAGTTAATAGTTCCAAACAATGTGGGTGGCTATCTCTTGGTAATAATGCCCAGCAATGCCTGGTATTAACAATGTAATTCTACAATACCCAGCAATGTCCCCGGTGACCCAGTGGTGTTACAATGTCCCTGACATTATAAATTTAATAATACAATGCCTGGCACAGTCACTAGTAATCCACTGGTATTATAGTGTCTTTGCATTCAGTGGTATACTTACCTTCTCTAGCTCCCATCTCACTTACTCCTACCAAATGCAATTGATGTCAATGTGATCGTTGCAAAAACAACAGGTTCACTTTATTGGCAGCACCACCAGCAGTACATGCTCAAAAATACAAAAAAGGTCATTCACTCGGCTGCCCTCGGCAGCTTTGTGAATAGACCCCAGTGTGTAAGTCATTAAAGAGTAATATAACATCAAATTGTTTGCTTGGAGTTATTGCATTATCTTGCTTCTTGTACGGCCTTTCTATATAAGCTTTGATTTTGTGCTAAAAAAAAAGTTCTGCGTAAACCACAGTAGATATTTTCAGTATATGTTTTTACTATCAATCTGATTTTATAGATGAAAAACATCTTTGCTATCTCGAAGCTGGTAGCAGAGAGAAATGCAAATGAAGCTGTTTGCAATATTAGGTCATTCCCTCTGTGTATACAGTGAAAGTATTTCCTTCTGTAAGCTGCTACGCTGATATCAGCAAAGAGGTACAGTAAGATATTATGTTGGCACAGCGAAGAACAAGACCATTTATCAAATGCCTTACTGCAAACAACAGCAAATCAACTGTAAAAGCAATGACACTTCCAAAATCTTCTATTCTATTAAACAGAGGTTGTGGACTAATGTGAGTAAACCTCTCAGAATCCTCTTGTGACGGGTTCATTTAATGCAGTCACTATAATGTGCCAACGTTTACAACAGTTAGGAGAACTTCTAGAAATGAAATTATTGGCCCGTCTCTTTCCTATTTCCATAAAATGCACTTTATGGAGTTTGGCCTCTACTTTTCGTTTCATTAACATTCATTTCTCTTTCATCTTCATTTCTGAGATTATATATATATATATATATATATATACAAAATATGTGCAGTACAGCTTTTTAGATTTTCAGCAATTGTAGTCAATGTGCACAAGCTAATGCTAAGTTTTACAGCTGTCCTTACAGACTCAACAAAAAATCTGCAATGCATTATTGATGTGTTAAAACTGAACTCCAGTCTTACCTCCAGTCTTGTACATTGTTGCAGGCTCCATACTGAAATAGCTTACTCTGATTTCACTGGACACTGTGAGCTTCTCACACTGTGCATTAGAAGCTGCACCAAGTCAAATAGAGCCTGCCACATTTCATGACTGAATAACATTCACCATCATCTAGCACTTTCCTCCGCATCCTCACTGTACCTGACCCACCCCTTTTATTCATTGCTTTTCAGTTGTTTCAATCATGGAAGCTCAGCATCACATGTGAGCATTACATAGGGCAGTCTGCATGCAAAAACAGCCAGCTTATAAGTGCCCACTCCTCCAGACTGACATCCACCCATCAAGATATTATGATATTTGTATAACACCTACTAAGAGCCAGACCACTGCTTGCATCAGTGCTGATACCTCTAGATAGAAGTACTGAGGCAGGGTGCTGTGATATTTTTTGAAAGTTATGTACTGCACCCTCCAGGCCCTCCCACTAACCATGGTTTGCCTACATTGCATAGAAAAGCTCTGATACACAGTAATATATTGTAGCTTACCAGTCTTTAGATGTGGTATCTGCATTAGTTTTCTTTTTTCGTGCTTTTTTCCCTTCATTTTCACCTTGTGAATGAGGTGGAAATATTGGTTAGGCTAAAGATCAATTTTGTATTCAAAATTATTCCATTTTGTTCAAAAGATGAAAACTAGAATTTGAACCAGTGATATTTTTCTTTGATCTTGCATCAGCCTTGTTTTTTTAGGTACACAGGTCTTGCAAGACTTCTCCTTTCTGCAATGTTTAGGCCTTACGAACTGTTCCTGTTGGTAAAATAGTCAATGTATTCTTAAAGTGGCATAGTTTTATAAACTAGACCAGTTTTGATGAACAAGATGAACAACATTGTGTATGCAGTTCAGTGCAGTGAGGAGTGCTCAGAACTATATGTCAGTGAAACAAAACAGCAGCTACACCAGCGTATGGCACAGCATAGAAGAGCGAAACCCTCTGGTCAGGATTCAGCAGTGTGCCTACACCTAAAGAAAAAAGGTCACTCCTTTGAAGACAGTCAAGTACTCATCCTAGACAGCGAGGAGGACTGGTTTAAAAGAGGTGTGAAAGAGGCCACTTATGTAAAAATGGAGAAGCCAAGCTTAAATAGAGGGGGGGGGGTGTGAGACATCTATTGTCTGCCACATACAATGCTGTTTTAACACCTCTCTGGGCAGGTTAATAACACCTCCTAGCTCCAAATATGCAAATGGAATCAACACCTGGTTGTGACAGAATATGTGGATTGGAGCAACATTCACCATAGTTATTCCCAGATAATTTTTTGTATAAGTCATTCTGAATTGAGAAAATGTCCAGTGAAACATCTTCAAGAAAAAAAATACACAAGTCCAGTTGCCTTGACTTATTTTTTACAGATATACCGGTTTTATTCTCCAACAAAGACCACTGTATCAGACATAGTCTCCTAAAATAAACATTCCAGTCTAACCCAGACTCTTGGAAAAACAGGTACTAAATTACATCAAATTTAGGAGTAACTTTGTGGTTTCTCATTGCTGTGACAAATAACTAAATATTATTGGATGATTTGTATTTCTGTGGCTACCCAGTGTGGGATGTCAATGGGATGTGCCTAAATAATTATGCTGATGTGGCTTTGCTTTACAAAGTCATGTAGACTATTGTGAGGTTGCAAAATGGTATCTTGACTTCCTGCCCAATACGTATTAATTAAACTTTGCTTATGACATATGACAAGTAGGGATGTCCTGATACCACTTTTTTAAAGACCTAGTACAAGTACTGTCCCTCAGGTACTTGCCGATACCAATTAGAGATACTTTTAGAGACATGTGACATTTTTCCTAAAACAATACAGACTATGATTTTAGGGCAGATTTTTGCAGAGCATGTGTATAATATTTCCCATATCCAATCGAAATTCTTAGTCATTGCTTCATATCAGCAATACTTTGTATAACTTCATGTTTAATTGGGGGATGGATTGAAAGAAGCAGGGGAGAATTGTTACTCTATTTCTGCAACCTGATTATTTAAAGAGTTATAATTCTCCCCTGCTAACTTGAATAGGTTAAATGATCCATAATACACACTTCCAGTACACTGCAGAAATAATTACAATTCTCTCCTGCTAACTTGAATAGGTTAAAATTTAACCCATTCAAGTTAGCAGGGGAGAATTGTAACTCTATTTCTGCAGTGTACTGGAAGTGTGTACTGTGTACTACGGATCATTTAACCGTTAAATGATCTACAGTACCCAGTTCCAGGACCAGTACACTGCAGAAATAGAGTTAAAATTCTTACCTGCTTCTACCAATCTGTCCAACTTCCCTGAATACCAAAAACCAGCTAATGACCATGTCCCGTATGTTGACCGCAGCAAGCCCTGTAACAGTTTCCCTCACCACATACCACAGCCATACAGCCACGGTTTTACTCACAGGCAACTAACAGGAGCGTGGCGATGTGCAGGACTGTCGTTCTTTGTCGCTCTTGTGGCACTTAGGTAGTCGGTGATGTGTGGGAGTGTCATCCAGCATTGCTCTTGTTGAGCTTAGGTAGTCGGTGATGTGTGTGAATATCATCCCCCGCCACTTTTGTGGCCGTGCCTGGTGTCTCGTTTAGTTGCCCGGCAGGCTGCCCAGAGGACCCCAACAAGCATGATACCTCTGGGCAGTGGCGTCGCTACAGTTATCACTTGCCCCCACCCCCGTGTGCCCCCCCTGCTAACAGTGGCAGCAACCCCCCCCCCCCTGCAGTCTACTCACCTCTCCGCGGCGTCTGCGATCGTCTTCATTCCAGCAGCTGACTGCAATAGCCAGCCTGCTATTGGCTCTTTTAAATTGCAGTAGCCAATAACAGGCTGGCTATTGCACACGCCCAATGCCAGCTGTCAATCAACAGAAATGGACCTGATGGAAAACTTCAGGTCCCCCCTCTGCTGATTGACAGCAGGTAGTGGGTGGGTTAGGAGGGGGGCCAAGTAGCTGCACCATTGGCCTCTGGGTTGTACTTGCCCCCTGGGCTAAAAGTTGCCAGTCAGCCCCTGCTGTATTCCGCCCCTACTGGGCGGTGAGAGCTGATTTAATTGCGGATGGCGTCGGGGGTTGCGGTATTCAGGATTGTGGACGGGGTTGGACTACATGTCGGAACCGCAGGGCGCAGATGCCATCCGCAATTAAATCAGCTCTGCGGCATGCAATGAAAATTATTAGTGCCCCCCCAGATTTGACTGTGGTATCTTATGTGCCCCCCCTATATATGCCCTTTATACTAGTATAGGTATCAGAACATACCTAATGACAAGGACACAAATCTCTGTTCCTGGTAATCACAAGGTCTGGTATTCCTGCCAGGACATAATCTTGCCAGTAGCACTCCACAAATCCTAGGGTGACAATGCTCACTTACTATACTGTCTCTATAAGAAGAGAAGCATTGTCACCCTAGGACAGGAGTACGGCAGACCCCTACTTCTTCTCCATGACATAGAAAAGCAGTTTTTTTGAAGCCCAGAAATAGCTGGGAACATTGGTATCTGATAACAGTCAGCAGAGGCAGAGAATACAAAATGTTATCAGTTCACAAGATTTCTAGTAGGATTCAAAGATGTTAATGCATTTAGTGAACATATATAATTAGAAGCTTGCAATGGAATATTTAACAGACCAAAAGGGAGCAAATCAGAGACGTTGATTGATAGGGTTACATACACTTTGAGCCATAAATGACCGGGAAAGTACCAACAGGCTCTGAAGTATCATGAGTGCCTGCAATGAGGTTGCAAATTTAGTCTGGTCATGGAATTACAGTTCAGCATTCACCCCCAAAGGAGCCACTGAAATCGCCTGGGTCATCATTAGCCTGTCTAAGGATTTTGGTAAACAGCTGCCCCATTAGCATTAATCACCGGTTATCTTCCAGAAATTCAGTGCAGATTCGTTAGGAGCACATTTGAAAAAAGATTGGCACAGATCTTCAGTGAGAGAGACACCAAATTTGCTCCTGAGGCCCAGTTCATTTCAGGCACCTCCAGTAGCCATCATCTTCCCTGGTTCTCCTCATCAGTCAGTAGCCAAGGCCCCCCCTAGACTTGGGGCCTAACAAAACATTTCCCCCACTAAAGTATTCCCACCCCCAGGCCTAGCCCGTGGGCAGGGTGGACAGCACCCCAACCTGGACTAATCCATAGCTGGAGCCAGACTGAGCACATGGCAATTCCTCTGAGTATATGCCCTGTCCCAGCATGCAACACTGGCTGAGAGTGATTGGCTAATGGACTGCAAACACACTCACAATGTCCCTCTGGTTGTCCCACACTGCAGCAGAGTCACACTCCACCCAGGCAGGTACAATTATTGTCAGAACACCTGGAATTAAACAGATAAATTCCAACTATAATTCAGCCAGACTGACTACAGCTCTGGCAATCACTACATTTCTAGTAGCCACCTCACAAAAGGTGATGGGGGCTACAACGGCATATTAATTCAATAGTTCACATCTCTAGATGAAGAACTCAACCTTTACTGAGATACAAATTCAATTACTTAACCTTATACAGGGCCATGCCATTGGACACAGCTAATAATATGGTATGAAAAGCATGCATGATCACTGGCAGCAAATTCTGACTAAAACCCAGGCTGGTCTATATCTAAACTATTGGATACTTACAATATGTCCTCTGGAAAAATACTATCCATGTGTTCTATCTGTAAAAAAATAAGTCAAGGCAACTGGACTTGCTGTAATTTTCTAGAAAAATACAGCAAATCCAGTTGCCTTGATAGATTTTTGACAGTTATACCATCACCTGGATGAATGAGAACCTTCACATACATATCCATGTGGTCTCCAGGAATCCTCATTGACTTGTAGTAATAATAATAATATTAATTTAAAAAAAGGTAATTGTCTTATTATTTGAGTGCTAAAACACAACACCTAAGGGCACTTTTAGAGGGTTATTCACAATGAAGCTACGGCTGGATCCTTCGGCTCGCTTCGACTGCCTTAGCACAATAGCCCGTACAGCAGCAGAAGGCAGTCGAGCGGCTCAGCCGAGCTGAAGACATATGCTTCGGCTCGACTGAGCCGAAGTGACAGCTGAAGCCAAAGGGCCAACCTTTTTCCACGCAAATGACAGCTGGGCGAAGCCAGCCATGATCTCACGGCTCACTCCACCCAGTTGTAATGACAGATCAGTGTCCCCAAATGACCTGGGGATGCTGATCTGTCATTAAACAATAACAGCTAGGCGGAGCCAGCCATGACATCACAGCCGGCTCCGCCCACTTGGTATTTATTGGCCGGGACCTGCTAGAAAACTCTGGCAGGTGTCGGCCAATAAGAAATAGTTTGGCAGAGATAGCGGTGATGTCACCGCTAGCTCTGTTTTTATTTTTCTTGCATCTGTCAGATTTGACATGATGCGGCGGGAGTTCATTGCGTGTGGTCGGGTCGGTGTGCGTCGTTTTTTTATTT